CGAACTTATAGAGATCCCATCTGCCTCTGGCTCCTGTTGCTGGGATTAAAGGTGCCTGTGTGCCACACACTGTGCTCCTTGTTGTGTTATTGATAAATTTTGGTGAGGAATGATTGATCTGAACTCACATGAGCATCCGAAGAGCCCTTAGGAAAGAGGGATTTTTAATTTAGGACATCTTGGTGACCAGAAAGGACACAGAGCAACAAGAATCTCCCCCAAAGCTCCTTCCTTGTCCCCCTGCAGGGTGGAGAGGTCCTGGGAAGAGGGAAATCAGGACGTCTCAGATTGGCTCTTGGTAAGCAGCTCCCAGGAGCAGGGGACACATACACACTGGGGCTCACACTTTTCTTCTTTTCTCTCTATCAAGCCCATTTGCCTCTGCTTCTCAATGTGTCACAGGCAGCAAGCAGGCTTTCCCAAAAGCTTGTCGCCTCTACAGTCTCACCTTGGCTCCCAAACTGCTCTTACGTGGGGAATTCCCTGTCTCCTGAAGCACACTCATGCAGAGCAATTGAAAGCTGTACTTAAAGGGATTGGAGCTAAAGTGTCATTAAGACAAATATATTGTCTCTGGTATCCTAACCGTAGGACCCTTGATTCAGGAGTCTTGGGAAAGAACTGCTGACCAGCTGCATTGCTCTATACAGCCGGTTCAACTAAAACATTTAGTCCTTTAACCAGGTTAGTTCAGCCTACAGCCTTTCCAAAAGGAAAATGGGTCTCCCATGAATGTCTCCTACTGAATCTCATGCACCTCCTCTGCCTAATTCTCTGCCAACTGGTAATATAATAAATCGTCCACACCCGATCTGGGCAGTGCTGCTGCACACCTTTAATCCCAGCACTCAGGAGGCAGAGGCAGGTGGATCTCTGAGTTCAAGGCCAGCCTGGACTACAGAGTGAAATCCAGGATAGCCCCAGGGTTACACAGGGAAAACTTATCTCAATAAATAAATAAATAAATAAATTAATTAATTAATTAAATTATCCACCTCCATAAAGTGGCCTTAAAGAAGCTTCTCTCAGGCAGAAGAATCAGTGGCTGCATTTCCAGTCATTAGAGAAGTAGAACCAGACCCTGCCCGAGAAGGGCTCCATTTGCCATATACGAAGATCTCACAAAGTGTGTCACAGAGAATGAGGTTCAAACCATTTCACTAGAGGAATAATAATGTTATTGCAAATACATATGAAATGATACCTTTTGAATGACAAGCCCTTATAAAAACAATTCTCACCACTGCTTAATATAGTCTGTGGCCCCCAGAATGGATGGACAAATGCCTGTCCATGCTGATCACAACCAAAGGCAGCAGCCCCTCATAGACGTTACTTAAGGTCAATTAATCAGACAAGGAAACTCTGAAGCTGGGGCTCAGCAGCTTGCCAGCCTCAGCTGCTACAAGGGCTGGGACCAGAGTTGCTGAACCTAATACTCCCTCGGGGTCCCTTTCCACCATCAGACAAAAGTCTGCAGAGCCCCTTGTGGGCTTTGTTGATTGTCTGCACATCAAGCTGTGGAAAGACAGATAGATAATAAAGCTGCTGCCACCTTACCTTTCATTGGCTCAGAAAAAGGCAAATTCTGATTGCAGAAACACCCTCATCTGTAGTTGCTAGTCCTTTTCATACCATGCTGATCAGTAACAGCCCACCAGAGCATTGGCACAGAGGAACTGAAGGCTCAGATTCCAGCAGCAGCTTTGTGGCCCTCTGTGTTTCCAGTGTGGGAAAAGAGGCCATTTCCAAACAGTGTAAACAGAACTTACTAATAGACTTCAGTATGGTAAACCTCCTTTTTAGAATACACCCTGAAGGTAAAGATGGTTTCACTGGGCCAGTCAGTGTCCATCTCGAGTTGATAGTGAAGGCAGTCCAGTTTGGGGAACACAAGAATGAGTGCCGAGGGTGGATGGGTTATACCAGCAACCCCCCCCACACACACACACGTGGGTCCCTGTCTGTGGTCCCAGGCCCTGGCCCTTGCTGCCTCTGCAGGAACACAGCCTGGAACCACAGATTCCACACCTGTGCCTCTGCTGCATGCCACCCAGCTCCACCCCAAACCTAAGACATTAAGAGGTCTGATTACTAAAGGTAATTCTTTACTAGATTTATCTATAATTAAGGATATAAAATTAGATGTATTAGGAGAGGTGAAGAGGCTCCCACAGATGTGTGGGAACCCCTTCCAGCGGACATTTTGACTTGATTTTAGGTAAATCAGACTGGAGTATCAAAGTTTTGTTTGCCAGCTCTAACTCAATTGACAAGGTTGATTATTAATCCTTATCCAACTCCAGAGACCCTGATAATGGGCCAGGCAAGAACTTGATTCCACAGAGCACACTGGACTCAGTTGGTGTTTCTGTCAACCCGATTCCCATGAAGGGCACTGGAGACACAGCAGCTGGTGTTTCCATCATAGTGAAATAATCCTGGCCTTCTAATGGACCCACTGAGTCCCCAGTTTTAGACATTTGGGAGTGACTAAAATAATCCCCTCCTTTGTAAGAACAGAAACCTTCTGTGCAGTTTTCCAAACTCAAACTGACCTTTGCACCTCTTTGTTTTACCCTTATCTTTCTCCCCTGGGGTAGAGACCCCCCTGTCTCAGTGGGGTTGTGACAACTCCTGAATATCCTTTTTCCTCAGGGCCATGAGAAACACCTACCCAAACATTCTTGGATCAAAGGCCCCGATTGGGGAGGTCAGTGGCCAATTAATGGAGAGAAACTATATCAGCTAATCTAAGAACAACGTTAGCCAGACCTTATAGAACTCATTGTTCAGTGCTGTTATCTATCGTCTATATTCCCAAAGATCCATATCCCCCAAATTACAAGATCTCCATGCCATTAATGCTCATCCAGCCTGGAGTTCCCTCTCCTACCATGGGCCCTCAAAACTACTGTTATAGTTATTGATGAAAAATATTGCTTTTTTTACCATCCCATTACACCCTGATGATCAAGAATGGCCTTCTCAGTGCCTCCTGTCAATAAGCAGGCGCCTGTATCTCACTTTCAATGGAAAGTACTTCTCTGGCTGCCAGTGGTGGGTATATAGTACCTACTGCTAAAAGGGCAATACATTATTGAACAAAAACGTCCTGATACGTATTTCACTATAGGTGTGATATCCTATTAGCCTCTTCTGCTAACATGTATGTCTGTTTTAAAGGATTTACAGACTTTTTCATTTACAGCTTGCCTCAGCAGAGTTCTGCTAGGTGTTCCATGTATCTGTCTTGTATATTGTCCATCCTTCTTCCATTAAGCCTCATTGATTACAATGGTCTGTTCCCGGAAAAATAATGTTCAATCCTTTTCATTAGCTCTTGGGCAATATCAGTTTGCTTTGCCCTTCCTTGGGAATTCCCAAAGTGGCTTTCCCATCTTTTTGCCTCTCTTAAGGTCTTGAACTCTTCTCTCTCGTTAATTCCTTTTGCATTACAACAATTCCAGCAAGTGGCTTGAGCCCTTGAGTGAGGACAGTTTAGATTTACCCCTCTCTGTTTGGCTCGAACAATCCTCTTGCCCTTGAATCAGCCATTTACTCCCTTTTCAGCCATTTTACAATGGTAGTTTCTTCCCAATTTACCTAAAACTTTTTTTTTTTTTTTTAATTCCAAACCAACAGTGACTCTTATTCACTGGGACTGAACCAGAGCTGTCCAAATTACTGGACAAGACCCTGGTTTTTTTGTTGTTGTTTTGTTTGTTTTTTCAAGACAAGGTTTCTCTGTGTAACAGCTCTGGCTGTCCTGGAACTCACTCTGTAGACCAGGCTGCCCTCAAACTCAAAAGATCCACCTGCCTCTGCCTCCCAAGTGCTGGGATTAAAGGTGTGTGTCACCACTGCCCAGCAACTCTGGTTTTTTTTGTTTTTTTGTTTGTTTGTTTGTTTTGTTTTTCGAGACAGGGTTTCTCTGTGTAGTTTTGGAGCCTGTCCTGGATCTTGCTCTGTAGACCAGGCTGGCCTGGAACTCACTGTGTAGACCAGGCTGGCCTCAAACTCACAGAGATCCGCCTGCCTCTGCCTCCCGAGTGCTGGGATTAAAGGCATGTGCCACCACCGCCTGGCCCTATATTTTTTTATCCTTCTTGATCTCAAAATAATTTCAACTTCCTTTGGCAAACCTCAGAAGAATGGCAAATAGCTTTTTGCTTGATTTTTGGGACAAAACTCCTTCCATTCCCTCGTTTACTCTATAGGGTTCCATTACAATGGGCTTTTCTCCAACAAGTACACATCCTATCTCTAACACACTAACTGTTCTTTGTTAGGGCCAGGCAGAGGGAGAGGAATGGAGGATTCATATTTAGGCTGGCTCTTGGTCAAACTACTCCAGAAGGAAGTTACTTCATTTTCCTTCCTTAGTGCATTATTGACATGAGTTGGTGGGTGACATCCTGAACTGGGGTGTTTGGGTTTTGTCCCTACTGCCCTGGGGATAGGCTCCCCACCTGCCTCAGAGTCATGAGGAGTAGGGAATATTTGTGCATCACCAGCTAGTGTAGGTAAGGAAGAGCTGCTGTGGAGGGTCCATGCTGTGGCCACACCACTGGTGCTGATGAGGGACAGGCTCTATGGCAAAGACTGTACTCGTGCTGTGAATTCTGCAGGTGGAGGTGGAGGTCCCGAAGGGGGAGCATTCCACTGGGCTCATTTGCCTGTTATGTGATGCAAGTATTTACTGAACATCCATTGTCCACTGGAAGCTAAGGATAAAGCTGCTAGTCAGACATGACCCCAGGCCTCGTAGGGCCCTTGATGTGCAGGAGAGAGGAGTCCGGAGGACAAGATTCCAGCCTGGATTCGGTGTGACCTTGGGTAACTGGTAGCTTCCCTAGAAGCCTCAAGGCCACCTGAGCAGGGCTGGAAGTCCACCCTCCCCTGTGGTATCAGTCATAAGAGGGACAGGGCAGATGCTCTGTAGCTGTCCAGTGCAGTACCTTCCCTCCTCACCCTGCTCATGCCTCTTCTTCCCGCAGAGTTGCCCAGAAGCTGCAGGACAGGCACCTGGAGCACCCCCGGGTGGCTACTACCCTGGACCTCCCCATGGTGGGGGCCAGTATGGCAGTGGACTCCCCCCTGGTGGTGGATATGGAGGTCCTGCCCCTGGAGGGCCCTATGGATACCCCAGTGCTGGGGGACTCCCCTCTGGAGCTCCAGCTGGACCATATGGTGGTGTACCTCCAGGGGGCCCCTACGGTCAGCCACCTCCAAGTTCCTATGGTGCCCAGCATCCTGGACCTTATGGACAGGGTAAGTAGAACCTTCAGCTCTGGAACCCAATCTAGAACCTCTGACCTGGTCTAAGCCATCCATGTCCCGTCTTCCTCCTTCCTGAAGATGTGCACGTACCCCGGTCTCTGGCACCCTAGCCCCTCACTTCCTGCTTTGCCTAGACTGGTAGAATGGACCAACATTCTCCAGGTCCTCCCGGCTTGCAACACGCATGTATTTCTATTGCTTGCTCACTCGCGCCCGTGTGTCAGCAGCTGCAGGTTGGCAGCTGAGTTTCTGCTCCATGTGTCTTTTCATTCTGGGATCAGAGCTGAAGGAGCATCCCCTTTGGGGGCATTGTTGTCCTTAGGGTGGAGAGAAAGAGTAAGAAGCTAGCCAGGCTGGGCGGTAGCTCTTCAGGTTCCTCTCTGAAGTACTGATGTCTCATCTCCTCGTGTTATTTTGGCTGAAGCACATCCTGTTGTGGAGCCTGGCCCCAGCAGGAGATGGTGCTCCTCTCACTGGGAGCTCCTTGAGCTCCAGGCAGTGGGAGAGGGATACCATGCTTGTATTGTGAGGGAGATGAGCCGATCGATAATTGGAGACAGCAGTGTAGTAGTCCACAGGAGAAGAAACTCCACTCCTGTAGGAGAGTGACTGACCACATCTGTGGAAAGAAAAGATGTCGTCCCTAGTGAAAGCTTTTGAGATCAGACACTCACTGACCTGCTCAGACTGCTTCTTTCTGCCTCTGTGTCCCCCTCTGTAAGATAGAGACAGTGTCACTACCTCACAGTGTCGCTGACTCATCCGGATTAAATGTGACGCTGCAGCTTAATGCTGGGCACAGCCTCTGGGCTTAATGGACAGCACTGTGAGAGACTTGTTATAGGGCAGAAGAATGTTGGCGTTTAATGTGATGGTAGCTACGGCAAACGAGGATGGAGAGAAGGGGAAGAAAGAACAGGCTGGAGAGGAGGCGTTGGACAAGACAAGGAGGGCAGAGACTGAAGAGCTGGGGCTGGGGAAAATGGTGCCAGTCTCTGGGTTTCCTGGGCTCCCTTCAGTCAGCTCCTTCACAGAGTGGCTGTTCTCAGGAGCCCGAGCACCAGCTAGGCAGCCAGGAACTGCTTTGGCCCATGAGAAGGGCCTCTAGGGAATGCTATGCTTAGGAAGCAAGCAGCGTCTGAATGGATGTACCCAGGCAGGTGGCCCTGGGGGAGATGCCCAAACCTCTGGGGTAGATGCCCAAACCTCTGGGGTTCTGAGAACAGCCAGCCAGTGGTATTTATCCTCTCAGAACCCAGGCGTCTGGCTGTTGGCTTCCGGCTCAGCTCTGCAGTGGATTTCCACGTCCTCTAAGACCTTGTGTCTGAGCTCATAGAAAGTCTGCAGGGGAAGGAGCCCCTGACTCTGAGCCCTGTTCCCCAGGGCCTGAGAGTAGCAGTAGTCTCTAGGGCAGAGGAGGGAAGGAGGGATGTGCCTTACATGCCTAGCCTCCCTCTGTGGCTTCCTGCATTTGCCTACATTGTGGCTTCCTGCATTTGCCTACATTGTGGCTTCCTGCATTTGGCTACATTGTGGCTTCCTGCGTTTGGCTACATTGTGGCTTCCTGCATTTGGCTACATTGTGGCTTCCTGCATTTGGCTGCATTGTTTCCTCTCCAGGGTGCCTAGTAAGCCCCGGAAGGAAGCGGTACAGCATACATCCTGATCTATGCGGCACTTGCCTTAGTCCTGGAAAGTCCCACCTCCAAGTTCAAGTCCTACTACTGTAGGTGACAGATCTGACCATTGGAGGTTCTCCTCTGTTTGCAGAAAGATCCCAAAGGGCCTCTGGCTTCGCATTTGCCGTCAGCCCTGGCCTTCCATCCAGCAGAGGTTGCTCAGAGTGCTGTGAATGCATCCTGAGCCTCTGATGCATTCTCCTCCCACACAGCTCCTCATTCCTTCAAAAACAGCTGAAATACCCCTTCTCTGAACATGACTCCCACCACCCCCACCCCAGCCTTTGCTGGGGACTTTATTTTGCTATTGTCTCACGTGATCGTTCCAACCACCCTTGGAAGTGGTTCCATTTATAAATATGGAAGTTGGAATTCCAAAGAGTGACTTATTTCCCCTGAAGTTGCACAACTGGTAAAAACCAGTCAGGACTGGAATCCAGATCTACCTTAAATCTAAAGCTGAATTCTGTGTGAAGCACACAGGCACACTTGTCACAGAAACTTCCTCCCTCCCCAGTTACCCTGCTTGTTCTAGTTTGGTTTCTCTTGTGAAGAACACCATGACCAAAAGCAGCTTGGAGGAAGAAAGGGTTTGTGTGGCTTGCAGTCCATCATCGAGGGGAACCGAGGCAGGAAGCTGAAAGCAGAACCAAGGCGGAGCACTTGCTGCCTCGATCTCTTGCTCACTCCCCGGTTCATGCTCAGCTAGTTTTTCTCTTCGGCACAGGCCCACCTGCCTAGGGATGATGGTACTGCCCACAGTGGGCTTCTCTGTCAACCACCAATAAGACTGTCCCACAAACCAATCTTAACGGAAATCCCCCACCCCCAAACCAGGGCCATAAAATGGGCCCAAGACTTTAAGAAACCCGCAGCCCTTGGAGTTCTAGAGAGTTGGCCCAGGAGCTCTAGGTCTCAGAAGCAGGAGTCTGACTTCTCTCCCTCCCTGCACTTTCAAAAAACAGCTTATCTAGACAAAACAGTTTCTGTCCCTACTCTCCACTGCAAACGCTGATTCTCAGACCCTGAATGGAGGGCGTGTTTTCCTGGACCCTCAGAGGCTGACCTGCAGGGTTTGGAGGTACTGCCTCTCAGGCAGTAAAAGTCTGCAGTGTGCTGTTGCTGTTTTGAGGTCACGTGGGGTGTCTTCAGTTTCCCTGCTGACCTGTGTCTTAGAGCTCTGATCTGAGCGGTCCTCAGACTGCTGAGTTTGTGCCAAGTCGACAGTAAACGCCAACCAGCGCATTGTTTGAAGGTGGGCAAGCCTGCCTGGCTAAGCTCCTACACTGCACCTTCAGTCAGGCAAGCCTTCTTCCTAGGCCTCACCTCTGGGTCTGCCCTCCATGCTGCCCATGTCTGTTTCTGATACCTTCGTGTATGCAGAAGCCCCTTTTGTGCCCAGTTAACCCTGCTTCACTAGGACAGATGACTCTGCTTCTCCGCCTTGTCGGTCCGTCCCTCAGGCCGTTTACAGAGCGTTCTCGCTGTACTGGAGGCGTGGAAAGGTAAAATCATAGAGAAGTTATAGGCACACTGCACACAGTTTTACGGGACTCTGCTGTAGGAATAACTGCCAGCCCTCAGGAGGTGATGTGCAAGCCTCCCTCAGAGAAGGTGTGGGCTTGGTGGAGGCTTGGTGGGTGGGTGTTCTAGTTTGCTTTCTGTTGCTGTGGTAAAACCCTGATCAAGGGGAATTTAGGGCAGGAAAGGGTTTATTTCACCTTATAGGTTGTAGTCCATCATTGAGAGAAGTCAGGACAGGAACTCGGAAGTGGAAACCACAGAGAAACACTATTTGCTGGCTCCCTTGCAGGCTTATACTTACTTAGTTTTCATATACAACCAGGGACCCCCTACCCAGGGAATGGTGCCACTCACAGATTGGACCCTCCTACATCCGTTAACAATCAAGACAATCCCCTGCAGGCCAGTGTGATCTGGGCAATCCCATCCTTCGATTGGACTCCTTTCTCAGATGACTCCAGGCTGTGTCAGTTAAAGATAAACTGGGACAGAAAAGAAAGCCTGTGGCCAGGGAGGTGCCCAGAATGGCTCCCTGGCATTTCTTTGACCTGGGTCTGACTACCGTGGTTCACATCCCTTCCTCCAGGTGGTGTCCCCCCCAATGTGGATCCTGAGGCCTACTCGTGGTTCCAGTCAGTGGATGCCGATCACAGTGGCTATATCTCCCTCAAGGAGCTGAAGCAGGCCCTAGTCAACTCCAACTGGTCCTCGTTCAATGATGAGACATGCCTCATGATGATAAGTGAGTTCCACCCTTCCAAGAGTACGCAGACTTGAGCTGGGTCCAAGCCACCTGACAGGTGACGGAAGTGGGCAAGTAGTCTGTCTGAGGAGAACTCTAGCCAGGGAGGAAGCGGGCTTCAAGATGCAGTCTCCTTTACCATGGATCGTTGTCCAGTTCTAGGTTGCTAGGTTTCAGGCTGGTCCAGTTTCCCATTCTGCAGCCAGACACTCCCTCCCCAATTAAGAAACTGCAGGAAAGGGGTCAGCATGGGCCCAACTCTTGGAGCTAAGCCACCAGCCCTGCAGAATCTGGATGGGGCAGGAGGACAGAGTGGCCAGGAGAAGAGCTAGTACTGCAGCTGGTGCCATGTCTCAGGCACAGGCATTTGTTTCAGCCTGGGAGAAGGGCTGCCTCAGTGGTGCCCTTGGCCCCAGTCTTGAAGCCTTCCTCCGCCCTTTCCCTCCTCCCACTCAGACATGTTTGACAAGACCAAGTCTGGCCGCATTGATGTCGTGGGCTTCTCGGCCCTGTGGAAATTCCTCCAGCAGTGGAAGAGCCTCTTCCAGCAGTATGACCGGGACCGCTCTGGATCCATCAGCTCCACAGAGCTGCAGCAAGGTAAGGACCATGGTGGGCACAGTGGGCGTGGCACACCTAGACAGTGGGTGTGGCATACCTAGACTCCTTTTCATGCCTTACGACACATCCTGAGTGCCTACCTATGCCCTCATCCCACCTGGTCTGCACCCCAACTGGGGCTCAGGCAACACTGGATCTGGAATTCGTGCTGGGCGCCCTGGAGTGGGACAGAGGCGGTGCTGAGTGGAACAGCCCCTCTGGCATCAGAGAGCTGGGAACTTGGAGAGCAGTGTGGTTCTTTCTTACTGTCCCTGCATGCAGTGCGGAAAGAGCCCTGCTTCAGGGCTCGGAGAGATTCTGTTGCCACTTGGCCAGAGGTGGTTCCTGAGAGTTGTGACTGGGTACGAGGACCTGGGGCCACAGCTCCACATCTGGTTCTAACTTGACTCCGTAGGTCAAGCCTACAGCCTGGGCTCAGGCCTGTAGGTTACTAGGACAGATGGCTGACGTGGCTCTGAGAACCCAGTGAGAAGTTTCATCACCTCAGAGGGGAAAAGGCAGCCCAGAGAGTCCAGGTCCTTTGTCCAGGCTGTGCGTCTCATTCAGACGAAGGTCTGTGGGTGGGGGTGAGCATGCCATGTCTGCCCCTGCTAGAAGGGAAGGTGATGAGGACTGAGCACTACCTGGGCAGCTTCCTTCACTGGTGTTGGTGAGGTCGATAGCAGCAACAAGATTCACACTTAATGAGTGTTCGCCATGCCCTAGGCACTGGGCTAGGCATTGCAGTAGGTTCCTGAAATCCATCTTCCCAAGAGCTGGATCCTGTTGGCCATTCCACACAGACGAGTGGAGGATCCCCGCTGCTCTCCCTTTTATGAGTGACAAAACCCAAGGGTTCACAGAGCAGAGAGTTCAGATTGCTCCTGGGCAGGCAAGGAATACAGAAAAGGCAGGGGCCTGTCGGTGGGAGGTAGGAAATGGCATGCGGGCTGTGGCCTCATATGGGGAAATGACTTTATTTAAGCAGGATACTGTGTGGGGGGCACTGTGCCAAGGGCCTCCCCGACTGCCTTTAATCCTCATTAGAAACACAGGTTAAGTATCAGCCTGCCAGATTGCAGTGAGGGGCTAGAGAGACTCAGTAAGGCCACCAAGAACTGCCTGCCTCCAGGACAGTTGTGACCTTCGTGCTGTGCGTGACATCCGTCTCCAGCGTGGTTAGTGGCCCACACTTCCTTCTGTAGCTCAGATGCATGAGATGGTCACCGGGAGACCGCTGGCCTCTCGGGGATCTCATGAACCTTGACAGTGAAGAGATGGGGGGTGGGGTGTCCAAAGAGACCTCCTGTGCTCCTGACATCTGACTGGATCCGCAGGACTTCTTCGTCCTCCTCATGCTTCTGAGCTGATGCCCCCCAGGTCCCCTGCTCTGCTGCGTTCCAGTGCTGCTCAGTAGTGATGTGCTCACAGCAGGCCTCTGCTCTGTGCCCCTCCTCTCCAGCTCTGTCCCAGATGGGCTACAACCTGAGCCCTCAGTTTACCCAGCTCCTGGTCTCCCGCTACTGCCCGCGCTCTGCTGCCCCGGCCATGCAGCTCGACTGCTTCATCAAGGTGTGCACCCAGCTGCAGGTGTTGACCGAGGCCTTCCGGGAGAAGGATACCGCTGTCCAGGGCCACATTCGGCTCAGCTTTGAGGACTTCGTCACCATGACAGCTTCTCGGATGCTATGACCCAGCTTACCCAGCGGGCGTGGATGTGGGCCTCTCTTCTTTGCCTCCTCTCCTAGCAAAGCCTGGCCTAGGGAAGGACTGAGGTTGAGTACCTAGGCTGTGGAATGGCAGCCTTGGAGTGGGGATGCTAGTGGTGGCAGTGGAGTTGGTGTCTGGTCAGCCGCCCCGGCCTCTCAGTCCGTCCTCTACCCCCTGATGCCAGTGCTAAGTGTTCCTCAGCTGGTACTCCTGTCATCCGTCACCGAGGCCACCAGGCCAGATGAGCCCAGTTTCTGCAACATGAAGTCAGACTGAGCATGAGGGAGATTTGCTGGGACCAGTGCCTCAACTCCTACAGTCCCTGTGTGTTAGCATTAGTTTACCTGAGGCTTTGCCTGCTCAAGAAGCGTGGACAGTCTGCCATTTTGGCCATATCTGATGAGGTTCCTGCCCTCTCAAACTTGGACCCCTTACTGGCCTGCCATGTTCCACTCAGCTTCAGTCCCCAGGGGACAGTTGTCACATCTTACTGCCAATGTTTTTAATTTGCTTTTTTTTTTTTTTTTCCCATTTGGGGCCAAAAGTCCAGGAAACTGTAAATTCAATAAAGTCCCATGTTTCCCACCATGACTGCTCTCTTGTGTGTGTGTGTTCGTCCATTCATTCACTCATTTGAGTGTGGAAGCATCCACTGCTTCCCAAGCCAGGCAAAAGCAACGGGGCTAGGGACCTTGGTAGACCTGCTGATCATCTTACTTGCCAGGGGGACCTTGGGGCCTGGCCAGGTTCCTCTATGTCTGGGATCTGCCCAAAGGCTGACTGTTTCTTAAAGTTTTAGGGTTGCCATTCTGGGCTGGAAGCTGCCACCCCAGACTTCTCACAGCGTGCTCTTTTTATTATCTTAGGCCTGAGTTTTATCTCTCAGACAAACTTCGTTTATGAAGTCATAACTCCTTCCCCCCAACTTTTATTAAGCACAGACACCAGTACCTGGCAGTTGCATTTCTAGATCAGCATGATACCCAGTCTGCACTGTGCCTGTAATGAGCTGACAGAATTTCAATCAAAAGCTGAAGACACCAGACATTCTGGTTTGCTAGGGGGCCTTATCACAGATAATGGTGTGATTATCCTCTGGCTTTGGAAGATGGAGATAAGAGCGCTGAGGCTCAGAGGCCTTCAGCAGGGCTGTCCTCCCTGCAGGGTGGGGGTGGAGGGTGGCTGTGCCATTTTCCAGGTCACAGAGGCCAGTGGGCCTGTCAGACTCAGCCAATTCAGCTCCTCTGGGCTGCTGTGGCTCTGCAGGCCTAGAATCAAGAGTCCAGATCCTAAAGGCTAGCACCATCCACCTCTGGAGTCCTTAGGGGACCCCAAGACTCCAGCCTCTATTTGCCAACCTCCAGTAACCGAAAGAAAAGGGGGCCGGAGACTTTCCAGGTTGCTTGTTTTATCTTTTGACTCGTAGCAGTGTCTTCCTGTTCTAACCTACCCCTTTGGAAACACCTTCCACTGGCCCTAGTTTTCTCTCTTGGACCCACCAGAGCACAACCCCCTCCTTCCTGCATGCCATTCTTCTGGACAGTTGAGCCTACCACTGCATCTCCCCCAGCCCACCCCCAGCCCAGCTTCCCTCATAGACCAGGTAGCCCTGGGCTTGTCAGATGTCCCTCACGGAGCATTACTCCCCTTGGCATCTTGGCCACTTCCCCAGAGAGTGCTTGAGTGCATCAGAGCTTCCCAGGCAGAAGTCTGAGATCCCCACCCTACCCCCATGCTGGCTGACTTCCACCAGCAGAGTAAGGTAGCTGTGTGCCCCTACAGGAAGCTGCTGTCCTCTCTGCTCCTGCTGAGCCATGTGTCCATTGGAAGGCATCTTTTTTTTTTTTTTTATGTGGTGCTAGGCTTGGAACCCAGGGCCTCACATGTTACCCTACCACCCAGCCACACGTCCAGCCCCCAAACCCATCTTTACAATGGCGCCAACCACAATCTACCTTATGGGGGGGGGGCACTGAGAGCTTAAGACCTGGAGGATCCAGCCCTCATGCCTCATCCCAAGCACACTGCACCTCCAGACCTGCCTTCACACTTGATTTGGATTTCAGGGACAATGGGGGCACAGAGTGCTTAGGACTGCCCACTCTGCTGGCCAGCTATGGCCGCTGGACTGATGAGTCTGTAGAGCAGATGAGCTCTTTAACCCCTGGACAAAAGGGCATGCCTACAAAGGAGCCATAATGTCTAGGCTCTCCCTGGCCGGGCCCCACTTCCTGACCAGAGAAGTCAGGGAAGCTGTGCATCTGTAAACGCCTGCTGGTGTGCTCACCCTCAGTGGCCTCAGCCAGATGTCCCCTGCTCCTTGTAGTAGAGTGGAACTCCAGCATGTGCTTGCCTTCTGCTCCAGCGGCAGGTGTTGGGGCCTTTTCAGCAGCCCTGTAATCAGCTCGGCTGCAGCCGGAGCATGGCTAGCCAAATCTGTGGCTTTCTCTTTGTATTCTGTGAGTTCATAGAAAACAAGCGAAGCCCTGATTTCCAAGAAGGTTAGGAACAGTAAATCTCTCAACCCCACCGGCTGCCCACCTGCCTCCTTGCAGTCCAGAGGTCCTCGGGCAGGGAACAGAAAGTGTGTCAGAGATCCGCATCCTGGGCACCAGAGGCTGGGCACTGCCTAGGCAGTGTGGCCAGCAGTCAGTTCATCTGGGCCCGGGGGGGGGGGGGGGGGGGTTGTTGCGCAGATAAGAGCATTCCAGAGCCTTCTCCTCTTGCCATCCCCCAGCCGCCCCACCTTCCTCTACTAACCTGAGCAGCACAAATTTTGTGTAATGACAAGGAAAAGGAACATTCTGTGCCAGGCTTTTAATTACAGTTGCTTCGGGCTGCTGGCCTCCATGCTGAACGGCCACATGGAGAGTGTTTAAGTACTCCACAATGCCAACGAGATCGCGAGCCTGTGGTGCGTGCAGTCCACACCTGGAGAGGGTGGGCCGTGCTTCAGAGTTCACTGAGAAGGGCTGGACCCAAATTAGTTCACAGGGACATCAGAGCAGCTGGCCGTGTGCAGCCAGGGCTTCGGGTGGCCTCCAGGCCAGGCGACTATGCCTGTGGGGACCTTTGGAGCAGAGTCCAGCCAGGGAAGGCCTATAATTGAGTGGGAGACAGGTCTTTGGGAGGAAAGCCAAGCTCTGAAAGGGTAGGGTGGCGCTGCAGGGTACAGTCACAGCAGGCAGGGACGACAGTAACAGTGTCACCAGCACGAGATGGTTTACAACATTCTCTGCTTTCTTAGGGTGCTTAAGCTTCCTATCAACCCTTCTAGGGGACACAGCCTCAGAGGGGGAATGACGCTGGCTGAGTCACCCAGGCAGCAAGCCAGGACTGGAGTCACAGCCCCTCACTGAACAGCAGCAGTCTTCATGAGTGCCGGGGCGGATCCCGAGCAAAGGATCAGGCTGTGCCTCCCAGAGCCTGGGCCAGGCCCCACTTAGGACAGCACTGTGGTGACGCTGGTCAGCACGACGTGCTCAGAGACTCTGGAGACAGAACACCGGCTCTGCAAGGACTTGTGTCTGGCAGAGGAGCGGGGACCCAGACCAGGCAGGCAGCAGGAGAAGGCGGCCTTAAACTGCTCCCGGAATTTGCCTTGGTTGGGAGACAAAAGACACAGCCATAAGGGGACCAATGCAGCAGGAAGGGGTTTGAGCTCCAGGGACACCCGCACAGCTCCAGTCAAAGCTGTGTGGTGGGGCAGAGAGGGAGGGGTGGGGCTGGGACAGAGAGCCCAAGGCCACCTCAGCCCTGCCAGCCAGAGAGGATGAGAAGGCCCCAGCGGGTTCCTGGAGCAAAATGCAATTGTCTTGATTCCTTGACTGCACTCTGGCTGGGAGCCTGGCTTCAAGACGTGGTGTCTGGCTCAGGGGCCTCAGGTCACCTCTGTTCTCTGTGCCGTGTGTGAGGAGGGAGCGCAGGGTTCACACCGTGGCTCGCCTCTCCTAGCTCTGTCCAATGGTATTGAAACGAATGAGAGCAGCATCCTGTTCAGGTGGCAGTCAGTCACACTGCCCCAGGGGCTGTGCCAGAACCTCAGACTTCATCCCCCAGAGCATGCCCACACCCTGCAAGGCTGTGTCCACATCACAGAGAAGAGGTGCAGAAGTCAATATATAGTTTGCCCAAGGCCAACCAGCTGGAAATTGAACCTGGGGATCTAACCCCAAGCCCATCTCTTAAAGGGAGGGCAGAGTGGGAGAAGAGGGGACTGCACAGCACTGTGTTCTGCTCACGTGTGTTCAGCTCACGTGTATACACGGACTGCACAGCATGTGTTCAGCTCACGTGTATACACGGACTGCACAGCACTGTGTTCAGTTCACGTGTATACACGGACTGCACAGCACTGTGTTCAGTTCACGTGTATACACGGACTGCACAGCACTGTGTTCAGCTCACGTGTATACACGGGAGGCGGGGGCCGGGGGCAGAGGTTTTCTTGAATCCAAACCCTCCCAGTCATGTCTCCGGCCTGTCATTCTCTGGTATCCAGCTCAGGGCAGAGCAGAGCACACAGCAGACACTCGGCAAACACAGGCCAGGTAAGTCCTGTGCGTCAGGGTGGCTGCCGGCTCTTCCCTCTACAGGTTCCACTCTCCTGTGCTGTCCTCTGAGCTGGGAAGCAGGCCAGGCAGCCTTGGTTGAGTAACTCTTGAGTCACAGTGAGGGCTACACTAGGGACCTCTGACCCCTTCTCAAACATCTTAACTACTTTTGAAAGAGACTGGGAGGTAGCGAGCACGGGTGGGAGTATAGGACAGCATGGTGGGGATAGGTCGGGGGCCTAGACTCCTGGCAGACAGGGTGGAGGTTTGCTTTGAGGCCCATGGATCCAGGGGTAGCCAAGATTCTGGCCACCCTACCCTGGGTCTGGCAGTCTCTCTACTGCTGACTGTCCCTCGTCCCTCAGCTAGATTACACAATCTCCCTCAGGCAGGGCCTCTAGGGTCCTCTTCTCAGGCCCAGCTCCCTCTAGAAACACAGATTGCTCTGTCTATACCAGCCAGAGAGGAACTAGGAGGAAGGCTTGCTGCGCATGCTCCCTGGGTGGGGGATGGAAGTCCAGGCCCTGTCCTTCCTCTTAGGCACTGATCTGCAGGCTGGTCAGACTCCATTCTGGGTACTATTTACTGGCCATAGCTCAGATCAGGACTCCTGGTAAGGGCAGGGTATTCGAGTCTCCCCTATGAGTGGAGGGTTCCCAGAGAGAGCTAGAGAGCAGGTACATCCTCTCTTACTAGCCTGGGATGGACCCAGGGACCATGGCCACCCTGAGTCACTACATGCACAGTTCACTTACCACTGAGGAAGTTGTAGATGATGGGGTTGGCGGCACTGTTGGCGTACACCAGCCAGTGAGAGAAGGTAAAGCAGGCATAGATGGCTTCCCGGTCACTGGCGTGGCGGAACATCCCGAACACTCTGGTGCCAGTGAGGAAGAGGGTGAGGAGCAGGACAGATGGGCAGGGGAGGGGTGCCCACAGAACTCTAGCTAGGAAGTGTAAGGGTCCCCCCCTGCTCACTACTGTCCATTTGGGTGACTTGGTTTGAGGTCTTGACCACGATTTTGGGTACCTACGCATGGATTTTGACCAGAATGGGCCTTGGGTCAGGGACCAATAGGATCTGCTCAGTCTCCAGCTTCCTGATCACTTGGAGTCACCCCATCTACCTTCTCAGCCATCCCAACAGAAACAAGACGTCATGGACAGCATCCATTTTTTTTTTCCAGCTAAAGAAACAGGCTTAGGGAGAAGGTACATGCCCAAGACCACACACGTGATCAGGACATGACCAAACCCAGACTGGCTGCTGTCCACTGCTCCATGACCTTCCACTGATGACCCATGACCCCTCATCTGTCTAAACTGCTGTCCTCCCACCCCATGATGCTTGCTCCTTCACATCTGCCAAGTCTCTTCTCGGGGGTCCCAGCCTCAGAGTGTTTTGAGAGAAGGTCTCACTGTGTAACCTAGACTGGCTTTGAACTCATGATCCTCTTGCCTTGGCCTGCTGAGTGCTGAGATTACAGAGCACACCTCCCAGCTTCGCAGAGAAGCCTTAAATAACAACAATGTATCTGAGACGCCCCCCCTACCCCCCTACCCCACCCCCCCCACCCCCACCCCCTACCCCCCACCCCCCCTTGGAGGCAGGCCTGATATCCCCAGGCAACACTAGAGGAGCCAGGAACAGCAACCCCTGCCCTGGGGTGGAGAGGGGTGAACGGTACTCCTCCTCAGACCCCAAAGGCCCTCCCCTCCCCACATGTTCCCTTGTGCCCTCACCTCTTAAGGACATTGAGGACACTGATGGGCAGATAACAGAGTGCAAAAACCAGCAGAACCACCATTAGCATCCTGGCCGTCTTCCTCCGAGCTCGAATCTGCTTCACCTCGGCCAGGAAGGCTCGGGCGCGGGGCTGGGGCTCTGTACACAGGCCCTGACGCTGAGCCTCCAGTTGCTCTGAGGGCCGCTTCCAGTTCCGCACCAGGGCTGATGTGGTACCAGGGATCTATCTCACACAGACAGACGGACAGACACACAGACACGGACACACACACACAGACAGACACACACACACAGACAGACACACAGACAGACACACACACATAGACACACAGACAGACACACACCACACACGCGACAGCAAGGGATGTTACTCCTTGAGAGACAGTCATTCCCTTTGGCTGGGGACACTCTGGGCCTGGTGGGCAAGGTAGGGACATCCAAGGAAACTGCCCCACTGTGGCGTCTGGACGCCTTCCTAACTGCTCTCCCGTCCTCCTTAGACCTACACAGCTCCATCTTTGGGGATGGGTGCAGCTGAGTCCTGAAGAGATGTCCATGTCACACTGTGGGGAGGCCTGGGAGTCAGGACATAGCTCTCCACCTAGGTGGATGCCCAGAAGCCTGAGTAGTTCTGGACTCCTGGAGCAAGCACATCCTGAAAGCCCCTCCCACCACTGAACATCGCAATCACCCCACAACCAAGAGGCATGGAGCCAGAATGCAAGAAACTAGAGTTTAGAGTTCCAACATCCACGAGCTGTGTGACTTCTCCAAACCTTTGTTTCCTTAACACAGACCAGTCAGGAAAGACTCTAACAACGTTCCCACAAGGCAGGTCCTGGGTTTAACTCAACCCATTGCCCTGCATGGTCTAAGGTGTGGGTTAGTGCTGTGGAGAATGTACGTGACACCCCAGAATGTTGGTGTCATCAAGACCAGTCAGCCTTGTGGCCCACGTCCTGTCACTGCCTAGACACTGACCCAGAACCTACTGCCACTAGTGCCGATGGCTCTTAGCACCCATCTTCCCATGAACACCACCCCAGGAAACCCACTGTGGGTCGACGTAATGAGGGGAAAGTCATGCCTGGAACCAGCCGGCCTTGCTGGCCTTGGCTGTCAGTCACTCCTCACACTCTGAAGTTGGCAAGAGCCCCTCTTCCTTAGCTAGCTGTCAGACACTGGAGGTGAAGCCCCGCTGGGCAAGCGATTTGGAGCTGCAATGGTTAACGTTCTGCTGCTAAGATGAGCATTGAAGCCTCAGATTTAGGGTCCGACTCCTGCTTTCTGCTCACTAGCTGAGTGCTTTGGGGGACATTGCTTGCTTCTCTGGGTGTTTTCTCACATATTTGCGGGGGGGGGGGGACATATGGTGGTTAAAGCTGACTCTATAATAATAGCTGCTCAGGAGGCTGAGACAGGAGAATTGCAAGTTCAGCCTAGTCAGGTCAACTTAGCAAGACCCTGCCTCCACATTTAAAAAAGGAAGGAGGGCACAGGGGTCAGGAAGAAAAGGTCTGGAGATAGTCTTCAGTGGTAGAACACTTGTCTAGCATAGGCAAGGCCCCAGATCCCCAGTACCAAAAGTTAATTAATTAAATGAGGCTACAAGTCACTTTGGGGCCTTTGGCTCACCACGTCCCTGGACCTGGCCTCTGTAGTCACAGTATGGATAACGTGTTCTAATGTCAGGGTCCATCTTAGAACAACAGCTTTACCCTTTGTAGCCCGGACAGCGACACCAGAGTTACCTTACCTGGCGGCCCCAGAGCTTACGGAAGATCTGGAAGTAGGCCATGGCCATGAGGCCCAGCGGGGCCAGGTAGGTAACAATGAAGAAACAGCTGTGGTAGATCTTGGGGTAGAGCTCATCTGTAGGGGTCATGAGATGCAAGGGTCAGGTTTATCCTGGGAGCTCCAGTCTGCCTCAGCAATGCCACCCTGTCCCAACAAGGACCATAGCAAGACCTGGGGACAACTGAATCTCACACAGGCACCATGGCAGGGAGAGAGCCTAGAATTGCCCAGTCTAGTAGTATCATCCCGGAGGGACCCCTAGCAGATGCCCACACCAGAAGAGATACCTATCCTGGGGATACCCACCCTGAGAGTCCCCTGTCCTAGGGGTACGCACCCCCGAGGTGCCCGCCATTACCTGCCCAGTGTTCATCACAGACAGAGAAGAGCCGGGTGCGATTGGCTAGCTCGGGCAGCACACTGCTGCACTCCATGACAGCAGCCTGGGGCACCATGACAGCCAGCGACACAGCCCAGATGCCCAGAATGGAGCCACGGGCCCGGCAAGCTGTGCTCTTGAACAACAGCGGGTGGCAGATGGCATACCAGCGGTCCAGGGCGATGAAGCTGAGGGTCAGCACTGCCACCGACACAGACACGGCCTGCCCCATGGGGACACAATGTCAGAGGTGTGGAGGGGAGACCTTCACAGCCCAGAGCTACCAGTGCAGCAAATTCTGACTCCAACAACTTCGGACTGTGTGAATTCGGGCAAGTCACTCACCCTCTCTGAGCCTTATCTGCAGAATGGGAATATAGCATCTATCTGGCGGAATTCTGGTAAGAATAAATGAAATCATGTATGGAGAATGTCCAGTTGGGGACCTGACACACACGGCACTACTCTACTGTGAACAATGGCACTCTGTGTGGCGGGCACTCCTCTCCCTGTCCTTACAACCCCATGAGGTGGGTACAGTGTTACAGAAGAGGAAATGAGACACATGATACTCTCATACTTAAGCTCAACAGACTGGGTCGGTTGAACAGAAAGCCTCAAAACAGTGAGAAATCCAGGCAGCATCTCGGTCATCCCTTCCCTAGGCTGTTGGGAAAGCCCTTGTTCTGAGAGACATAGATGAGTGGGCAGGTAGCGTAGGCAGGCATTGCCTCCAGGGTGTCCCAGTTTCCCGGGGTGCAGGAAGAGGACTGGGGGCTACTGAGAGGCCACAGTGGCTTCTGGCCAGCCCTCCCTCCAGTCTGCTGATCCCACTGGCATCCTGGTGTCCAGTATTGGGGAAGGAGACTAGAGAGGAGAGGAGAGACAGTTCCCTTTGGCTCTCTCAGTTGGTCCCCACTGGGTTCAAGGACCAGCCCCTGTGAGCATTTGGGACTGTCACCGTGGACTGGGCTCCTGTCTCCTCTCTATATGTGCCCATGTACTTGGAGGTAACTGAGTGTACACACATGGCCAAGTCTGCACCTGTCACCAGGAGGGGTTCCCTATGTGAGTCTTTGAGGCTGTGTCTGTGCTCCTGAGTGTCCAGTCTGGTGGTCTGGGTGACCCTGCAAGAGTCCTAAGCCACTGTGACTTACCTGAAAGGTGATACTTAGGGTCACTGATCCCCATCAAGGTGTTAGTCGGGTGTGTTAGAGGCCCCTGAGGGGTGTGGGAGAGCTAACCTGTAGGTAGGGGATGACCTTGCACAAGGCATGGCCGAAGAGCCACGATTCAGTGATGTCCACTAACAGACTGGCAGGCAGGCAGATGGCAGTCACCAGCACATCTGCCAGGGACAGGTTGACAATGAAGTAGTTGGTGACTGTCCTCATGTGGTGGTTCCTCCACACAGCCAGGCAGACTGTAGAGAGCAGCGGGGTGAGGTAAGTCAGCAGCAGCCATGCCCACTCAGGCTCTGCTGGGATGCTGAGCCCCCATCCCCCACCTCACCAACAGGAAGGGCTATGAAGGCAAGGCCCCCGCGGTCTCTCTCTAATCCTCAGAAGACAGACACCTACCCAGTGTGTTGCCCACCAAGGCTATGAGGAACACGGCCACGTAGGCCACGATGAGAACCCACTCGTACTGCTTCGGGTAGAGATAATCGCGCCACAGGTAGCGGAGGAACTCATCTTCATAGTCTGGAGGGAGGGGAAAGGGCTCCCCGCTGCCAGTGGGGACCCCGGGCTGGGCCCCGGGAGTGGCCGAGAGTTCCATGAGCTCGGGAGCCGCTTCAGCTGAGGAGCATCCTGGGCTCTGTGGAGGAAAAGGAACTCCCACAAGCCCTTAGCCCACTCCCTTCAGGGGGCCCTGATCTTACACCCAATTCTTTGGGGTCCCAGCCCAAACTTCCTGAAAGAGAGAAGACTAGGAGGGAAGGAGAAAGGGAAAGCGGGGGAAAAAAGAAGGAAGGAAGGGAAGGCGTGGACATTAGGGGCTTTGCCTACCTTTCCTCTCTATTCTTAGTCGTGAGTTGGGAATGGAGGAGAAAGGCATCTTATCCCCCTCATTCAGCCTCAGTTTCCCCATCCAACGGAGTAATAAAGATACCTACCTCTCAGGGCCACGATGAGGAGTATTGAGCTCAAAAGCTTAGGGACTACCTCACCCAGAAGCCGGCCTCCCGGTCAGTGTCCGGTATCATTATTAGTGAGCCCTGCTGCACGGATGAAGACATGGGAAGCGGAAAGGTTGGGACCCTTGCTCAAGGTCACAAAGCCAATCCAGGTCTGCCTGCGTCCTCCAGCCATCACAGATTTAGGAAAGGAATCCATTCCCAATCTTGCATCAGTTCTCAAGCCTTAATTAGGGTTTGGGGAAAGGGTTCAGGGAGATACTGAAGATCCAGGTCCCGCCCACCAGACCTGCCAGAGCCTCCTCAGTGCGCGTGCACACGCGCGGGCGCGCGCGCACACACACACACACACACACACACACACACACACACACACACACACACACATACACACACCCGAGAAGAAGAGTGTGGGAAGGCACTGACCACCTCCCTGAGAGAAAGGAAATAGTCCCCCGCCCAGAAACATAATTCTCAAGGCCCCCTTTACTAAGTCTCCTGGAGTCACCGGGGCCGCGATGCTCCCCGACGGCCGGCAGGGGTCGCTGAGCCGGCGCGCAGGCCGCTCTCCATTCATAAATCCGGCCTCCCTCCGGCCGCTCCCTCCTCCCTCCCTCAGACCCCTCCTTCCCCTAGCTGGGTAGGGACGACCCTAGACTGGTGTAGGAGGGTGGACGGTCCCCGGAGAGCCCCTGGAAGGGGGCAGAGACGTGGCCTATTGATTTCCCAGATGGTCCTCCCTGCTCCTTAGGGGGTCTGGGAGGATTCCCAGAAGGGCCAGCCAGAGCGCTAAAGGGTTACAAGGGAGACGCCCGGAGGTGAGAGGAGTAGGTGGTGACGCAGCCTTCCAGCACTCAGGTCACCCCCGGAGACTCCAGGCTCCCCCGCCCCGTCACCTGCCACTGCTCCTCTGGAACCCCCGTGCCAGTCCTGATGGCCCCCCATATCCCGCACCTGTTGGCTCCCGGCCCCGAGCATCATCCGTTGCTGGTACCTGGACCTTGCTCGCGGGACCTTGCCTTGGTGCTGGGGAAGGCCAGGGCTGGGGACGCGGCGGGGCAGCCCCCTCCCGAGGCTGAGCTGTCCGCTCGGTGGCTGCGTGGCCCCGGCTCCGCGCCGGTGGTAGCTCGGGAGGGCTCGGGAGGGCTGCGCGCCGTGGGGAGGGGAGCGGGGCGGGAGGCTGGGCAGGGAGGGGAGGGAGCCCCGGCCCGTCTGCGTTCCTGGTCGCCCAACTCGGAGCCCGGCTTTGTACGTCAAGCTTCCATCCACCTCCATTCACGCGTCCACTGGCTCATTCATTCCGTGCGCACCCTTTCGACACTTACACTCCCTCCACCCTGCATTCAGCACGCACCTAGGGGGTGTGTGTGGTGGCGGCGGCGGCGGCGTCGGGAGGGACACAGTGCAAGGGTGGACCCCACCTCTGCTCGCTGCCTCACCTGGTCGGTGAGGATGGTAGCACAAGTGGTTGTCACAGAGGTGAAAGGATGCGGGTGCCGCCTCCAGGCAAGCTCAGGACGCGCTGGAGCAGCTAGTGTCCAGAGACGTCAGAAAGATCTCTCCTGGGTCTCTCTGCCCCAAATCCTTGTTCGCACCTACTTCCCCTTCCTAAAGCCAGGACGTGAAGTGGAGGCAGAAGAGGGGAAGCTGGAGGCATTCATTAAGTCAATAAATATTTATCAAGCTCTGTGACAAGCAACGAACCCATAGCACGGCCGCCATTTCCACAGGCTGCGCGATCTCATTTAATCCCCACGTCAGCCCGGTGAGGTAGTTGTTATTGTGCCCATTTTACAGATAAGACCTTGGACGTACACGGTTCAGGGCTTTGCCCAAGGTCAGAGGCAGAGCTGGGTTTCAAACTTGTGTTCCACTCAGATCTACCAGCGCTCCCGACCTCTAAGGCTCCCAGCCTCGCAGAGGATCTAGCCATCCGGAGTAAGGCATTTCCCATGGTGCCTACAGAGCTGGGAGAGGTCCCAAGGGGCTGAGATCACAACAGTACAGAAGAGCTCACCCGGGGCTTCCAAGAGCAGAAATACCTGCTCAGAAACTTGAAGAATGATGAAGTGGCCTAGAGGCTAAGGTAGAGTATGGGAGGAGAACGCTAAGCTAGACAGCAGCAGGTGCAAATGATTGCAGGTTAGGTCTCCTGGGAATCCCAGGCAGGTGGAGGGGGACCTTCTGGGCTTTCAGATAGTCACCTTGCCCACCTCCTGCCCCAGGACAGGACCTTCCAAGCAGGTAAGTCTCCTTTCTCTCGCATCCCTCCCTCCTGGGAGTGTAACCACATCTTCCTTTTACAGCCAGAACTCTCTTCCCAGGGAGTCTGGGAGCAGAGGGCTGGGGAAGCACCCTTATGGGTCTGGTGACCTCCACTCCTGAAGAATGGAAGTGTCTGGACCTGAGGCAGAACTTAGTTCTTGGGTAGTTGTGGCATTTGTATGCAAGATGGTGGAGCATAGAACTCTAGGATTCTGTTTTGTGGTTTTGTTTTGTTTTTTTCTTTCCCCAAGACCGGTTTTCTCTGTGTAGCCCTGGCTGTCCTAGAACTCACTCTGTAGACTAGGCTGGCCTTGAACTCATAGAGATCCACCTGTCTCTGCTTCCCGAGCGCTGGGATTAAAGGTGTGCACCACCACCACCTGGCTGTGCCACCATCAGCAGCCAATCTCTGGGATTCTAAAACTGTTCTGTTTGCTGCTTGAGGCAGTGGCTGAATAAAGGACTCCCAAGAAGAGGGACGGGGTGTGTGTGTGTGTGTGTGTGTGTGTGTGTGTGTGTGTGTGTGTGTGTGTTAGGGCTAATGTATTCACAGAAGGGTTATTAGAATGTGTTTAGGGAATTCAGTTTGTTGTCCTGTGTATTTGTGTCTCTCTGTACATGAGAGTACGCTCTTGGGTGATGACTGGGGTTCACCCTGGCTAAGATATGTCTGTATGGGTCTTGATTTGTCCCTGTGTTTTGGTGTCTAGGGACTGGTGTGGGGGGGCTGTTATCTGTCTCTGTGGGGTCTCAACGTGCATCTGTGGTTTTGACCAGCAGTGGCCTCTCAGCTTGTTTCCCTGTGAGTTTGGGAATGTGAGAGTGGGCATGCCTTTGTGTCTACAGCTTTGCAAGTGTGTGAATGTGGAACTCGGCAGTCTGCTCCCATGGTGATGACTCACCCTTCCACATTCTGCCCACCCCACCCCCAATCTGGAGCTGCAACCATTTGCCACATAGGGGTCCCAGAGGAGGCTGCAGCATGTGGGGGGATGGGAGGCTGAGCATGCAAGGTCACTCAACTAACAGCTGCTTCGGGCAGGTTGCAGCCAGGGATGCGGAAGGTACAGATCCCTGCGTGGGCGGTGGGCCGCTCAGGCTCTGCGCTGACTCTTTAGCTCAGAGCTGTGGATTCCAAAGCCCCAGACACCATGGTTTTCAGTGAGCAAAGAACCTCCATTCTCCCAAGTCAGTGAACATTGGGAGTGCGTTTGTCCTTGTGTGTGGCGGAAACCTGACTGCTGTTCCCTTAAATCCACTGAGAACATCCAGTATTGTAGTGCCAGTCCCAGCCCCCCTGACCAGGAATCTCCAGTTGCCCACTTCTGCCCCTTTATTCCTTTGTACCCCAGAGATGGCTGCTTCCCATGACAAGAGTCAGGAGGGACTGCTCAAGGTGGCAGATCTCTGTTCTTCACCTATAGGACCCTGATCGGCAGGAGACTGTGGGCCCCAAGACCATCTGGTCCTGAGTTGGGTACCCCAATTCAGCTACAAGTGGCTTATCATTGAACCTAGTCTCTCTCCTAAGCAGGAGAGAGAGAAACCTTGAATACCTGCTTAAAAGACATCTGAGCCAGGCATGGAAGACACCCTCCCCCTCTCCCTGCACGAGCTGCAGTTGTTTAGTTCTTGGACACAATGGCATTGCCCTCTGGGAGCTCCTGGCAAAATGCCGGTGCCCAAGAGAGACCAAGGACTTCAGGTCTTCTCTGGACTGGGCCATCAGCCCTGGTGCCTCCTCTGCTGAAACCTTGGCTTTGCTTGAGCTGTCTGTCAAACTGTGTCCACATGACCTTTTTCCTGGAAGCAGCCGGCCCCAACCTTGTTGATCTAATCCTGAGCCTCCAAGCCACAGGTCCCTGTCACATCCATCTTCAAGTGTCAGCCCAGGCACTGTCATTCTCAGGTGCTGGCTCACCCTCCCTCCCTCCTTCCCAATTCCGATGTGACTTACAGTAACCTCTGTCTGGCTAGGACTAGAGCAAGTGAACAGTAATTGGCTTTGCAATTTGTGGATGCTGAGGGCCTGGCTGTGGGTGGGCGGCTGTGGCCAGGGGACAGAAATGCTGTTTAGAAGGCCCTAAATCAGGAAGCGAAGGGTAGATTTGGGTGCAGGACTCTATTGTACTCCAGGAAGGGGACTTCAAGGACTGGGTCTAGGGAAGTCATTGAGGTACCTGTGAGGCTTTTGGTCCCTGGGTTCAATGGCAATGACTTCTGGGAAGAGCTAGACAAGTATTCAATGCTCTGGGGTGAAACCCAGATACTTCCTGTCTTCAGCATCTCCGTAGGATGCCCTCATCCCTTGGAGGATGGAGGCTTAGAAGGACCAGCATGCACCGAGAAAGGAGGGGCCCTGGGTCTGGAATCCGGGCCCTCTGAGACTTAGAAAGCATCTTCCACACAGGCGTGGGGCAGGAGAAGGGTCTTGCTCACCCAGCTGCTCACTCAGCAAACCCTGAGGGGACCCTGCAGCTCAGGCTGGGGAGCCCCTTACATAGAGATGGTTGGGTGGAGTCAAATCTGTGGGGTTATTGTGTGGGGACAAACTCCGTGCAATGAGTTTAGGACCCACAATGTGAGTTCAAGCAGAAAACCAGAAAGGCCTGGCTTAGCTGCCAGCTCAGTACTTCCTGATATATGTTCCTCAAGAGTCACTTACACGTCCCTGACCTCTGTAATAGGTTAGATAATAGCTCAAAGGGGCCTTGGTCTGGCACAGAACTCAGTGGTTGAGCAGCTGCGAGCATGTGCAAGGCCTTGGGTTCTGTCCCTAACCCTGAACAAAATGGGGGTTGAGGGCTAAGGTGGTGAACCCTGAGGGATGGAGTCTGAGGATGCGGTTCGTGGTGGAATACTTGCTTGCCATGCGCAAGGCCCTGGGGTTCTACACCCAGCACTTCAAAAACAAAAACAAAACCCACATCACAACCACCCCTGGAACCAGGCAATGAGTCCCACAGCCAAGAAGAGTGTGCAGACATGACTCCATCATAAGGCTCTTGGGGTGGGGAGATAATGCTAATTACCCAAGTGGCTTCTAAGACAGAATCAGGAGCCTCAGGCAGAGGCCGTGGGAAGGAGGCCCAGGCTCAGTGATACCAGTGTGGGAAGTGGCCGCAGTGGTTCACACCAGCCTGTGAACCTGGAGAAATGAGGGAGTTAGTCCCCAGAGCCTGGAGAAGCGCTGCAGCCCTGCTGATCTCTTGGTCCTCCTCAAGAACTCACTTGGCTGTGGGCCCTCAGCACTGAAGAGCAGCTTACATTGCTTTAAACCAATACGTTGTGATCATCTGCTGTAATACACACACACACACACACACACACACACACACACTCATGCTGCTGGTTAAGATCAAACAACAGAAGCTCCTTCCATAGGGAGGCTTGTAGGAGGACTTCCTGAGATCAGGCAGTGTGTGGAGCGGCAGGGTTGGGCATCGATTGACACCCTTGGGTGTGTGATCTTTCAGCGTTAGTTCCACACTTTAAATTCCCAGCGGACGTGGGGGAAGAGTTAGCACTGCCAGACATGCTTATGCTTAACCTGTGGTTTGGTCTGCTTGTATGTGGAGCACGTTAGGGCTTGGGGCTGTGAGAACTCTAAATTATGAAATAACTAATTGTAATGTCTTTGTTAGGGTTACTATTGCTGTGATGAAACACTATAACCAAACATGACTTCATCTGGCTTACAGTTCCTGAATCAGTCCACCCAGGGAAGCCAAGGCAGGGCCTCAAACTGAGCAGGAGGGCCTCAAACCTGGAGGCAGGAGCTGATTCGGAAGTCACAGAGGAGGAGGAGTGCTGTTTGCTGGCTTGTTCAGCCTGCTTCCTTATGGAACCCAGGACCACCAGTCCAGGGGTGTCTCCACCCACAGTGAGCTGGGCCCTCCCCACTGATCACCAATTAAGAAAATGTTCTGCAGACCTGTTTACCTCCTCATATTCTGGAGGCGTTTTCTCAGTTGAGGTTCAGATGACTACAGTGTGTGTCAAGTGGGCACAGAACTAGCGAGCACAATCAGTGAACAATAGTCACTGTGAAGGTGTATAGAAAAACAGGAGGGACAAAAACAAGAAACGTCCTGTTTTTCTGGGGTGGTGGTGGTGGGGGTCAGAGCAGGTAAGGAGTAGGCAGCGGGGTGAGGGGGTGAGAATGATTGTCTAACCATGGCCCGAGTTACCAGATATTTGAGAAAAATCTTAAACAGGATAGAAAGAAAATCTAAAGACCAAAATATTCCAGAAGCAACTTGGGCTGGGTCTTGGGGGCTGAATAGGAGTTTTCAGGTGGTTTTTGTGTGAGATGTTGGGTTGGTTTGAATGAGAATGGTCCCCATAGTCTCATATATTTGAATGTTTGGTCCACAGGTAACAGTACTGTTTGGGAAAGGTTAGAGGCGTGGCCTTGTTGGAGGAGATGTGTCACTGTGGGTGGCAGGGGTGGGGATGGGCTTTGAGGTTTCAAACATCCTTGCCGTTCATTCCCAGTATCTCTGCCTCGTGGTTGTTGTCTCAAGACGTGAGCTCTCAGCTACAGTGCCGTGCCTGCCAGCCTGCTACCAGGCTTCCTGCCATGAGGATCAAGGACTCACCCTCTAAAGCTTAGGCCCCCAATAAACTTTTCTTTCCTAAGTTGCCTTGGCTATGGTGTTTTGTCGTGGCAATAGAGAGGTAACTAAGACAGAAGAGGTGGGCAGGAGTGAGACAGGAAGAGGGGGAGGTGGGCCAGACCCTGGGGACAGCATGAGCAGAGGTGGGGACAGGGCTGGTTCAAGGGCTATCAAACTAGCATTTACTTTGGCCCCAGGGTGTTCCCAAAAATGAGCGATGAGAAACAGATGTGCCAGGCCTTAGTCCCAGTACCCAAGAGGCAAAGGCAGGTAGATCTGTGAGTTCAAGACCAGTCTGTTCTACATGAAGAGTTCCAGGCCAGCCAGAGCTACATAGAAAAACTCGAGGGGGTGGGGGTAGGGATTGGTAAAGGCCTGGCCTCCAGCATGGGCTGAAGAGTTAGGACTCTGTCCATCCTAGAGGCAGTCCAATCCCTGCATGGCTTCAACAGGGTATGATGCAGACAGATCGCCAGTCTTGCCCTGCAACTTCAGGACATTTGAAGTGAATAACCAGTACATTCTCCTCCATTAAAGTAAACCATTCAGAAGAAAATAGAGTAAAATCATTTTTAATTGTGTAGAGTAGCTACGGATCCTTGAATACAGCTACCATAACAGATGGCGTTGGTATAGAAAGATGACAGTGTCTCTCTCTGTAGGCCATCCAGCGTTGGTAAGGCAGCTCTGCCGTTACCAGGACACCAGCACTCAGCTGGGAGAGAGGGGAGTCCAGGTTGTGTGCAGAGAGACTGGAGCCACGCTGGATTGAAATCACAGATCAGCTACTTACCTGCTGTGTGACCCTGGGACGCTACTTAACTTCCCTGTGCTTGGGATTCATCATCTTTAAACCGGAACAACACTGTATAAGATTGTGGTGGGAAGAACAATGTCTCCCCCCCACCTCCACCCCCACACACGGGTGTCTACATCCTGGTTGCTAGAATCTGTAGCAAAAGGAATTTGCAAGAACGATTAATATTTTTTCGAGGACTGCAGATGTAGCTCACCTGGCAGAGTCTTTGCTCAGTGTGCACAAAGCCCTGGGTTTGATCCCCAGGATGGCGTAAATTGGGCAGAGTAACACACACCTGTTTTGCCAGCATTTGGGAGGTAGAGACAGGAGGATCAGAAGTTCAAAGTCGTCCTCAGCTACATAGCAAGGTCAAAGGCAACCTAGACCACACAAGATTCAGTTTCAAAAATGTTTTTTTTTTATTTGAGACAAGATTTCCATTCATAGACCAGGCTGGCCTGGAATTCAGAGATATGCCTGCCTCCACCTGTCAGATGTTGCAATTAAAGGTATGACTACCATGCCCTGCAGGGGGGGTGGGGTTATGTTGGATTGCCCTGGTGATTCAAAAGTCCTTACAAGAAGGCTGGAAGTCAGAGTGGTCAGGGTATGCTGATGGGAGCACATGGGTGTGGAGATCCCAGGGAAGGTATCATGAGCTGGGGAAGCAGGTGATTCCCCCAGCTAACACTGTTTTCAGTCATCTGCCCTCCAGGCCTGTTTTAAACCACAGCACAGACCAGAGAGATGGCTCAGTGGGTAAAGGCACTTGCCACCAAGCCAGACAGCCTGAGTTCAATTCTCAGGACCCACACCAGTGCCAACACACGTACACAAATACGCAATAAATACATAAATGTACCCATACACCATAAGCTGGCAGTCTGCCATAGGGAAGGAACATACATTAGCAGGTTAGGTGAGTTAAAAATGTGCAAAGCCCTCAGGAAAGTGCCTAGCAGGTAGTCTGTGTGTGTGTGTGTGTGTGTGTGTGTGTGTGTGTGTGTGTGTGTGTGTTTGGGGGGGTGCGTTCATGTACACACACACACACACACACACACACACACACACCCCTGCACTGTCTACCGTTACTTATGACAAAACTCAGTCTCAGTCAGAGAAGGTTTATAACATTCATATTCAAAGTAATGAAAAGACGTGTCATTTCCACATATATCTGGGTAGCCTGAACTTGATTACCTGGATGAATAAAGCTGCAAGGGATGCTGGGAAATGTGCTTTTTCTCCGGAGAGACATTTCAACTGATACTCAACTGCAACATAAGTGTTCTGTGACTCAAGGAAGTCGAAGGTGGTTACTGAAGAACCAACAGTGTCCAGCATTGTGACAACTTTCTCACTGGTAACTTCCTCCCAAGTTCAGTTACATACATGCTTGCCCCACACTTCTTTCTGGTGCACTAATTTTGTTTTGTTTTGTTGTGTGCTGGACATGAAACCTAGGGCCTTTCAGGTGCTAACCAAGTATTCTCTTGTACCAGATTTTTTCTTTGGGGCCACTAACCAGATCCCAAGTCATGACACAGAGACTTATTATTTGTTTTGAATGTTCAGCCTAGCTCTTTTTCAATTTTTTTTTTATTTATTTATTATGTATACAGCATGTATGACTGTGGACCAGAAGAGGACACCAGATCTCATTACAGATGGTTGTGAGCCACCATGTGGTTGCTGGGAATTGAACTCAGGACCTCTGAAAGAGCAGTCAGTGCTCTTAACCTCTGAGCCATCTCTCCAGCCCCAGCCTAGCTCTTTTAACTTAAATTAACCTGTTTCTCCACATTTTGCTTCGGGGCTTTTTACCTTTTCTTTTTGTATGTCCTACTTTTCCTGCTTCTTCCACGTCTGGCTGGCTGGTGGCTGCCTGGCCCCAGACACCTCCCTCTCTTTCTCCCTTGTTCTCTTCTCCTTCCTCTCTTCTCTCTTGAGCCTAGATCTCTCCTCCTACTTATCCTCTCTGCCCACCAGCCCCGCCTATTCCTCTCCTGCCTAGCTATTGGCCATTCAGCTTTTTATTAGACCAATCAGGTGCCTCAGGCAGGCAAGGTGAAACAGCAACACATCTTTTCATAATTAAACAAATGCAGCAAAAACAAATGTAACACATCTTTACAACATTAACAAAGGCAGCAGAAACAAATGTAACACACCTTCACACAGTTAAAGTAATAGTCTGCAGCAGAAACAAATGTAACACATCTTTACATAGTTAAATGTTCCAGAACATTCTCCCACAGGAGCACATCCTCAGCCTTCAGTGCCATTAGGTTTATGTGGTGTTTCTGGACTCCCCAGTGTATAAAATGAGCCATCATTCATCACTCTCCCCTGCCCTCTCCCTTCAAGCCCTTGTGAACTGTGTTTGCATCCTGTTCTGTAGCCATAGTTAAAATGTCTATCTCTAAATTTCAAATATTGAAAATCAATAAAGCATTAAAAAATACAGTTGTGTAAACATGGTCCTCTCTGTGGAGCTGAGCAGCACATGGGGACTGTAGAAAGGGAGCTGTGATCTTACAGTGTAAGTGCTACTTGAAGGGACACGCTGAAGGCGTTGAGGTCAAGGGTGCTCGCCTACATTCCCTTCAATACTCAAAGTCGTGTGACTGGTCAGTTCCTTTTATACTTGCACCATGATGGCCTTACACGGCTTCTTGCTCTCTTGGAGTTCCTAATTGTGTTTCTCTTTGCTTCTTTAGAGAGGAGACATTTGCCTTTGAAGTCAAGTCACTCAAAGTTTCCCACGTCTTAATTACAGCACTTGTTCTGTGAGCCCACTTCTGTCTTGAAGACTTTCTTCTCTGGATCTCCAGACTTTCTGCTCTAATTTTGATGGAAACTCTGAGGACCTCTGGTATTCCACTGATTCCCACTGATCCCAGTGCTTTGGAAACGTGGTAAGTCTCTCATTCTTGGATCACGACTGTTTTGCTTAGATGCATCTTCAAATAACATTTTTTCTAAAGACATGCATAGAAGCAGGAGGACTTCTGAATCTTCATGTATGAGCAAATTCTTTCCTGAATCCAAGTGGGGGGATCCCTAGCAGGCTGGGGCACAGGGCACCAGCTCGCACATAGGCAAGTACCCAGGTTCCCTGTAGGTCAGGGTGAAGAGGGACTCATTGTAGATACCAGCGCTCACACTATGAGAAAACAAACACTCGGGGATGGTGGGGGTGGGGTGGGGGTGGGGGTGGGGTGGGGGTGGGGGTGGGGAGTAGGGAAGGAGGGAGAGAGGAAAGAGAGGGAGAGGAGGGGGTTCCTGTTCTGTCTCTGTATGTGTGCTTCTACTCGTGTTTGGAGCAGGGGGAAGTTAAAGGCTCATGTTGACTTACTATATGCTAAAAAGACCTTTACAAAACCGTTTCCCAAACTTTTCTCTTTAAACAGTATTTATACTACATTTATTTGTTTGTTTGTTGTGTGTGTGTGTGTGTGTGTGTGTGTGTGCATGTATGTGTGTGTAGGCATGCCCTTGCCACAGGGCACATGTGATCAGAGAACAGCTTTTGGGAGTCAGTTCTCTCCTTCCAGTGTGTGGGTCCTGAGGATTGAACTTGGGTCTTCAGGCTTGGCAGCAAGCACCTCTTCTCTCTGAATTATTTCATCAGCCCCCAGACTTTTCTTATTCTCATACCATGTCTCAGCATTGGTCACATCTTCTTACTCCTTTGTTATAACTACATAACTACTCAGGGTATTTTCTTTAAAGTGACTATTCCATACTTTGTACATTTGTACATTTGATGTTATACTAAAACCATGTCTATGTAGCTATTCTACTTCTTCTTTCTTTCTTTCTTTCTTTTGAGACTGTCTCATCTAGTCTAGGCCAGCTACGTAGCTAAGGATGACTGAACTCCTGACCGTGGCTCCACCTCTCAGTTCTAGGATTGCAAGTGTGTTTACCAGAATACCTGACTATCACTATGTTCTCTGAGTGTGTGGGTGATGCTTGTGTCCATGTGTATACACACATGTGTGGGTGTGTGTAGACGTGGCCGTCTTCTTCAGTTGCTTTCTATCTTAGTATGAGACAGGGAGTTCATCTCTCCAGCTAGATCAGATGACAGGAAGCCCCAGTAATACTCTGCTCTCTGTCTTCCCAGCATGGGAATTGCAAACACATACTGCTGTGTCTGCTTTTTCACATGGGTGATCGGAAGCCAAACTCAGGTCCTTGTGTGGCAAGAATCTTCCAGCCAAGCCATCTCCCATCTCCCCGGTTTTTATGTATGTATGTTGGTATGTATTTTCTTAAATTATTTATTTATTCGATGTGCACTCATTTGCCTGTATGTGTATCTGTGTGTAGGTGTCAAGATCACCTGGAACTGGAGTTACAAGCAGTTATGAGTGGCCACGTGAGTGATGGGAATGGAACCAGGGTCCGCTGGAAGAGACCAGTCAGTGTTTTTGTTTTTGTTTTTTTTTTTTTTTTCGTTTTTCGAGACAGGGTTTCTCTGTGTAGCTTTGCACCTTTCCTGGGACTCGCTTGGTAGCCCAGGCTGGCCTCGAACTCACAGAGATCCACCTGGCTCTGCCTCCCGAGTGCTGGGATTAAAGGCGTGCGCCACCACCGCCTGGCCCCAGTCAGTGTTCTTAAATGCTGGACCATCTCTCCAGCCCCCAAACTCCTCTTCTTTGAGGCACAGTGTTGTGTACCCTAAGTTGGCCTTAAATTCCCTATGCAGGTGAGAATAACCTTGAACTTCTGATCCTCCTAATTCTACTGGGTCAATCAATGTACCTGGTTCACGCCATGCTGAGGATTGAACCCAGTACTTGCCCTGTGCTAGGCACGCACTTTATCAACTGAGCTAACCCCTGACCCTCTGGCTCTCTCTTCTAATCCACGTTCAATAATAATATAGCTCTCTGAATAATAGAGTTCGTTCAGCCGGGCGGTGGTGGCGCACACCTTTAATCCCAGCACTTGGGAGGCAGAGGAAGGCGGATCTTTTTGAGTTCGAGGCCAGCCTGGTCTAGAGAGCGAGATCCAGGAAAGGCGCAAAGCTGCACAGAGAAACCCTGTCTCGAAAAACCTAAAAAAAAAAAAAAAATAGAGTTCGTTCATCTACCACTAAATGCCATCCTTACGCCGTTCTCTGCAGGGAATGTCTCTGGTCGTTCACTGTGTGGATCACCTTCTGATCAGTTACCTAAGCAGCAGATTCTCTCCACGCCTGCTGGTGTGAGCGCCACAGAGGATCTTCTTTAAATAGCCCTTCTCCTTGCCCAGATTCTGACACACTGTAAAATAAAGTGAATGAGTAATGACAGAAGACAATATGTCCCTTTTGTTATCGCTGTTCTAAAGCGAGAGACCTGGCTAACAGTGAGAGAGAACACGAGGACACCTCAGTCACAGGCCTGACCCGTTCCTTCCTGCAGTGAACCATAGTCTCAGCCACATCTCCCACCCACTCTAGCAGCTGCGCATGTTAGGGACATGACCAGCACGACTTTAGGAGCTGAGAAGCCTACTGGGAGAGAGTCCTCCCACGGATCAAGCAAAAGGACATTGAGAACTTGACCTGGTGGCAGATCTTGTCATCAGAAAGGAAAGGCTTTGGAGAATTGCATGTAGCTATGACAACCAAATGCCATGGACTCAGGTACATATTCAGGGAGCAGAGAGAATCCATATCTTACACAAATTGCCTCAAATGGTAGAAAAAGAGGGGAAAGTGCCTGCTGTGTTTAATGTGGTGAGTGCACCCTTGATACCGACCTAGATGATGACAGAGTGGGACAAGAAGATTGCAGGTCAGTTTCGATGATGAATATAGATGCAAATATCCCAAACTAGTAAAAATGTGTAATGACCAGGGGCTGGAGAGATGACTCAGAGGTTCAAAGCACTGGCTGCTCTTCTAGAGGTCCTGAGTTCAATTCCCAGCAACCACATGTTGGCTCACAACCATCTGTAATGAGATCCGGTGCCCTCTTATGGCCTGCAGATGTACATGCAGGCAGAATACAGTATACATAATACATTAAATAAATCTTTAAAAAAATGCGTAATGACCAAGTTGGACTTCTTCCAGGGGTTCTAGAATTTTTTTTTTTTTTTTTTGGTTTTTCGAGACAGGGTTTCTCTGTGTAGCTTTGAGCCTTTCCTGGAACTCACTTGGTAGCCCAGGCTGGCCTCGAACTCACAGAGATCCGCCTGGCTCTGCCTCCCAAGTGCTGGGATTAAAGGCGTGCGCCACCACCACCCGGCTTTTTTTTTTTTTTTTTTTGGTTCTAGAATTTTTAACAATTAGGAAATTGTCACTTTAAGCTATGATATAAACAGAATAGCAAACATCCTTCTCTTACATAGAACAATTTGGAGAAAAAAAAACATTTAGGAAGAAAGTTTCTGTAAAATTAGGAGTCTGGGTGTATGGCTTAGTTGGTAGAGTACTTACTTGCCTAGCACAAAGCCCTCAACTGGATCCCCAGTATCACATAAAACCAGGTACAGTGGCACACTCCTGGAATTCCAGCACTGAGGTAGGGGCAGGAGGTTGGAAGTTCAAGGTCATGCTTGTCTACAGAGCAAGTTTAAATACCTGAGGCCCTGTCCCAAATACATTGCTTATTACAATTTATTGATCATATGACCTACTTAGAAAACCTATGGACTTCTGCAACAATTGATAGGAACCCTCATTAAAATAAAGGGAGGGGACTGAAATGTGACTCAACAGTTAAGGGCACTGTCTGCTCCTCCAGAGGACCTGGGTTTGATTCCCAGCACCTACAATGTGGCCCACAGCTGTGTGTGACTCCAGTCCCAGGGGAATCTGATGTCCTCTTCTGGTGAGGCATGCATGTGGTACCTAGACAGAAAAATACCCATATACATAAAATAATAAACATAAAAGATTTAAAATTCTAAAATAAAAATTACTGGGCATGGTGGCACATGCCTTTAGTCTCAGCATGCAGAAGGCAGAGGCAGACAGATGGAGAGTTCAAGGCCAGTCTGGTTTACAGAACGAATTCCAGGCCAGCCAGAGTTACACAGTAAGACCTTGTGTCAATAAGTAAGTAAGTAAGTAAGTGAGTAAGTAAGTGAGTAAGTAAGTAAGTAAGTAAATCAATCAATCAATCAATCAATCAATCAATGAATCAATCAATCAATCAAACCCAGAAGGGTGAGGGGTGTGGCTCAGGGGTAGAACACTGTAGCAAGCATGAGCCCTGGACTTGGTCCCCAGCACTGTAGAGGAGAAGCTGTGCTCAAGGATTTGAAGTCACGACCAGGTTTGTTGGCACATACTTGAAACCTCATCACTCAGGGAATGGATGCAGGAAGTTCAGGAGTTCAAGGCCAGCCACAGCAAACTCAAGGCCAGTCTGGGCTACATGAGACTCTGTCTCAAAAACTAAAGCAATTAACAAGTAAAAAGAATTTCAGGTCGGGTACATCATCAGGCTGGGCATAGGAGCCTTCTGAGGAAGGAGCCCAGAAATCCAGCCGTGCTCGGAAATGACGTATATACCCTCGCACCTGCAGAATTCTATTGGACAGAACAAATGGTGAGGCCTAGCCAGCTAATTCTGGGAGAGGAAGGAGCACAGCACACCAAGTTCTCCTTTGCTCTTGTCTGGCTCATTAATGACTGGATTTTCTTCACTTCCTTTCTCTTTTGTTGAGGGTTTAGAATGCATCCTATCCCTGCTCTGCCATTAGTCATCCTTAGGTCTCGTTTGCAGAGTGTGGGTTCGCATCCAGAATAGCCATAGAATGCCTTTGAAGAGCCAGGTGTGGTGGCGCAGGCCTTCAATCCCAGCACTCGGGAGGTGGAGGCAGGCAGATCTCTGTGAGTTCGAGGCCAGCCTGGTTTACAGAGTGAGTTCCAAGATAGGCTCCAAAACTACAGAGAAACCCTATCTCAAAAAAAAAAAAAAAAAAAAAAGAACGCCTTTGAACTCTGACCATGGTTTGATTCCCACCTCTCGTTTTATTGTTTTCCAGATTTTTAGTCTTACTTAGCTTTGTTTTTTTTTATGCTGGTGACTGAACCAGGGTCTGGTATAAGCTAGGCGAGCGCCCTATGGCTGAACTGCCCCAGCCCTCTCATTTTGATTGTTGCTTTGAAACAGGGCTCACTGGGTGAGTGGCTCAGGCTAGCCTGGCGCTTACAACCCTCCCACTTCAGCCTCTGGAGTGAGGTGCACTACAGGCAGATGACACCACCTAGTCTTGTTCTGTTGTTTCAGTCTCACTGTGTAGCCCAGGCTGCCTCAGTCAACTCAAGATCTCCCTGTGCCAGCCTCCCACGTGCTGGAATTACTGTTCTCCTTTAGACCAGGCTTTAAAGCCCAAACCAGCTTGACTCTCTGAAGTTCAGTAGTTCCTTGCTCTCCATCTCTTCCTTCCAGCTACTTCTTCTGACTGTACCTCCTGGAGTCTTCTTGATCTCTTAGTCTGACATCTTAGGGCCTCGGGTCCCCAGAACGAAGTCTAGTGATTTTTGCAACATTGGTCGCACCCCTAATCATATGCTCTCTTTCAGTTCCCGACAGCCTGAGTTCTGCGCTTGTGATTGGTTTACTTTATTAAGACTTTTAAAAGAATCGACTCCACTTTCGGCTGTTCCCTACATCACCACTTTCTGGTTTCTCTTTATTATTTCCTTCCTTTTACTCCCTTTGGGTTCTCTGATGGCCTCCTGCCAGTGTCTCGAGCTGGTAGCTTAATCCATTTGTTGCCAATTCTTTGTGTTTTTAATAAACATAGCGAGGGCTATAATTTTTCCTCCAAGTTCCACTTTAGCTTATTGTTATTCTGTTTTAAACATCAGTTTCCATTATAATATCCTCTTTCCCCATGCATTATTTAGAAATGAGTTTGTAAGTTACCAAACATATTGAATTTCCTTAGCCAGCATTTTAATATTGATTTCAAATTTTATTATATTGGGATTAGAAAATGTGACCAAATGATATTGATTCTTTATGTTTATGTTCCTTTATTTTGTTTGCAGTGTTGGGCATTGAACTCAGAGCCCAGAACATGCTAAGTAATGTTAAGCAATCACTCTGCCTCAGAACTACACCCTTGGCCCCATGTTAATAATCTGATTTTTTTTTTCAACTTCCTTTATTTCTAAGTATCTGGTGTTGTTTGTTTGGTTGGTTCGGCTTATTGAGATGATCTCCCAGTTCAAGCTGGCCTTGAACTCACCACCTCCTGCATCAGTCTCCCAAATGCTGGGGTTACAGACATGAGCCTCCAAGCTGGACTCCAAGGGTGCAGTACCTCAAAAAAAAAAAAAAAAAAAAAAAAAAAGGTTGCACTCACTGAGCACATAAATGATGGGTTTCCTGCTGGGTGTAAATGTACCTGATAGATCAAGTATCTTCATGACAGGCACCAGACTCTCGCGCT